ATACAGACGATACTATTCACCGACCTTTTCTTTTCTCGACTTTTCGTCTGATTTTCGCGGTAAATGAAATCTCCAAAATATGTTTTATTTCTCTTCATAAACAAAGGTTTAAGACACATTTACAACAATCTCCACCTTGACTTTAAACCGTATTGGTACTAATTTAACAATCAACAACATTGCTGCTCTCTACCAACTTGAAACTTTAATCAATAACTTTGATCAAATTCAAGCAACTCTTAAATCTTGATCTCGCAACTTGAATCCACTTGTTCCCAATTACCCTTTTCTGCCTAGGGAAATTAACAAGCCTACAAGTATGATTTTTCAACCACTCTTGACTCCACCTGTTTTCAAATGTCTCCCTGAAGGTTTTTCTTCTTTCATTTTGTAGTCCTTTAGCCACATTAAAAACATAATATCTAAGGCTAGTATAATCGTCCCTTTGAGATGCTACAATAATCCTCCTTAACTTATCATGAGTCAAATGATAATTAGAGATCTCTGTAACAGTTCCCTCACTACTGCTAGCATCCATAGTAGGAAACTCCACCTCAAACTGAGTTTTCTCCGTTATAGTTTCTCACAAGTTTCTCCCTTGGTTTTCACTATTCTTCTTTTGAATAAATTCTCTATCAACCAAGTAATTTGTTTTAACCCCATCTCTTTCCCAAAAACTCAATAACAACTCAGCGGTAACATACATTTTATCCCTTGATTTCTGCAAAATTCATTGTACTCCTCTAAAACTTTCTCAAGGAATTCATAACGCCTTAAACTCAAATCTCATAGCTCTTTTTTGTCATGAAAGCCTCCACTAGTTAACGATGAATGAATAATAATATTTGAACCTTCTAAAATATATAGACCATATATTTTAGACCTTTTAGCAATAATCAATTCATCACGCAAAATCTTCAATACTTCATGTTAAACTCTAGTACAATAGCCTATATCATCAAACATACTCATGGATAACAAATTTCGATTGAGTTCTGGAACATACCTCACATTGTGAGTAAGAAGTTCACGATCATTAAACATTTTAAATCTGATTGCACCAATACCATGAATCTTGCATGTGTTATTATTACCAAGGTGAACTACTCCGCCTTGCACCATCTTCAAAGTTTCAAAGTATTCTATTCTTGAACACATGTGATAAGAGCAACCTGAGTCAATGGCCCAACTATCTTCAGTTTCCAAACTTGATACTACTAGTGCTTCGGCATCCTCATAACTTTCCTCACCCAATGCAACTACAGCTTGAACAGAATCTTCATTGACCTTTCTTTCAAGACAATCCCTTTTAAAGTAACTGATTTTTTGACAATTAAATTATTTTATCTTTAACTTCTCAGACCTTTTTTGTTTGGACATTCCATTATGCTCACCTCCTCCTCTTGACACATTTAAGCCTTCACCATTATCTTCAATCTTCAAATTTTTCGACTTTGAAAATTATTTGGATTTCACCGCCGTCTGAACTTCACCCAAAGTAATAGTATCTTCCTTACCATAGAGAAGGGCATCCTTAAAGTGCTCAAAGGATCTGGGTAATGAACTCAACAGGAGCAAAAGCCTTGTCCTCATCATCAATCTTCGCTTCAATATTCTCAAGGTCATCGATAATATTGTGAAATTCTATGAGCTGCTCAACTATGGATTTTTTTTCTACCATTTGAAATGAATAGAGTTGTTGTTTCAGATACAACCTGCGAGCCAAAGACTTTGTCATATACAATAATTCAAGTTTTGCGCCCAAGAACAACCTTATTTTCTACTCAAGTGTTTCCCTACCTTCCCAACTCTCAATATATGAATCACTCAAACCCGAGGTGTAATCCAAGGTTTTCTTTGTGCATAGTTGAAACCATATGTTATACATTTAAACCTTTGGTTTTCCTTGTTGGTGAAAACTCTAAGATTGTCAAACACCAAGCATATAAGAGATACATATTTATAATAACAAATACCCAATAAACAAAGCACATAATCATATGGATCCATGAACCGAATCGAAAAAGGCCGAAAAATCAAAAATACTATTTACCTTACGGAAAATACTATTTATCCGTACGGATAACACTATTCACCGTACCAAATTTTTTCCTCTTTTCTCGACTTTTCGTTTGATTTTCGCAGTAAATGCAATATCCAAAATATGTTTTCTTTATCTTCATCAACAAAGGTTTTAAGGCACATTTACAACACTAACAAACATTATTAGATCTCAGAGAAATATAAAAAAAAAATTCAAAATTGCAACAAATTCATTAAGATGTATACGCAAAACTAAGATCGTCTTCAGATCATCATCACAAGGCTTATGGGCTGTTGGGAATTGAAAGAGCTCGGAGAGAGAATATCATGGAATGATAAGAACCCCTTTTGATTCAGATTTGTATTTCGTCCACATGTTAGTTCTTTCTTCCTTGCAGTTTCAAGCACTTTCTTCCCTCACTCATTACTACTCCCAATTTTCCCCACTAAACATCAAATAAAAAATCCATTTAATTGAAACATTACAAAGTTAAAGACCAAAACAAAAACAAATCATACAAGGAGACTTACCTCAATATTTTTGGCTATGTCATACGGGGAATCGCCAACAGAAACCTTATGAGTGATGTGAAAAGATTTAGAACGAATTCAAGAAACATTAAGAGATTTCGCAAGTGAATAAGGTGCATATTTAGATGGTCTGGAACTTGGAGAAGCATTTCACATCTTTTGCAATATTGTTAAATAAAATTGCAAGTTATTTTGTTGGGAAGAACAGATTATGTTCCTACAGGAATTGAAAAAATAGACAATGTTGTGGTTAAAGTTGAAAGAATTCAATGAAATGAAATTAGGGTTACAATGTTTCACATGTTTAATAACAAATAATAATGAAAATAAACAAAACAAAAAGAAAGATAAGATAACATATTGTCAATTAGACTGTCACGTATGCGTAATATAATGTTTTTCCTCAAAATTTAGTGGAATTGATATATTTGACTAACTGAACTGTTTTAAGGGACTATAATGTAACTTTTTAAACTAAGGACCTAAGCGAAATAATAAATTAAGTTAAAGGATCAAAAGATGAATTAAGACAAATGAAAATTTAAATGTCAGTTACATTTCTTCATTATAATTATACAATTTAAAACTATTCCTTCTTATTGTTTATTTAGTTTCATACCATAAGTTTATATTATTAATTATAATTAATAAAATTACGAATTAGTTTTTTAATAATATCATTTCAATATATATATATATATATATATATATATATATATATATATATATATATATATATATATATATATATATATATATATATATATATATATATATATATATATATATATATATATATATATATATATATATATATATATATATATATATATATATATATATATATATATATATATATATATATATATATATATATATATATATATATATATATATATATATATATATATATATATATATATATATATAATATAATATTTCAAATTACTGGAGTATGCGTAATTTTTTTAAACCCTTATGTATATATTTCTTAAACTTTTCTAATAAATTATTTTATTAGCTTTACATGGTATTACATAAAAAAAAATTAAATGTATTCGAAATTATGTGAATACAAAATGGAAGTTGACTAATCATATTTATTAAAATAATTGTACTAACTATAATTAAAATTTTAATACAATGTACATTGGTGTATCGCCCAGATTCTAATCTATATATGAAATAAATGCGTTTGAAAAATACACTTCTAAGTTTATATGAATATTTTCTATTTTTCTTAGGTGTTTCTCCACCGTTTAGAGGGTACAAGCAATCTCCTAAAAATAACTAACGACCCTAAATAAAACTCTAATAACTAAAGGTCTGTTTGATTGGGGGTAAATGAAGATAAGGGGAGGAAATATTTAATAATTTATGTGTTTGGTTCAAATTTTAAGAGGGAAAGAGGAGGTAGATGAAGGGGACCAAAATCTCTCCTGAGTCACTTTTTGCTTCCCCCAATTTGGAGGGATTTGGAGGGGAGGGAAAATATTTGATTTTAATTATAATTATATTTATATATTTACCCTTATTATTTATTTAAATATAAATTTAACTTATAACAATGTTAAAAAATTTATTTTAAATAAATTTAATTTTTTTTATATTTGTTGTATTTTTATATCTTCATCTTACTATCATTATATATGTTTAAATTTTTTATTTTATTTTTCATATTTTTATGTTAATTAGTTATCGTAATGTTTTTGTTTATAATAATAAGGGGACCAAAACTGTAATTTAGCCAATTGTATATTATAATTATTGCGTTTTTATAAAGTATTTCATGATGATCTCTGATTGAATATTTATATTTCGTCAATAAATTTGTATTTGAATTATAAACGGTAAATATCACAAGTCTTATGATAAAAGTAGAAGGATAAAAAAGTAAATTACTTTTAAACTACCTCCCTCCCCTTTGTCAATCAAATATATTTGTAAATAAAATGTCTCCCCTCTCCTCCCCTTTCATATTATGAACCAAACATATATATAATTAAAATCCCTCTTCTTCCTTCCCCTCCGCTCTCTTTCCTTTGATAAAAATCTCTCCCCTCCGCTCCTCTCGATTGAACCAAACAGACCTTAACTAATAGCAAAGGCCCAATAACAAGTTTAGTAATAGAATATCAAGTTTGTCTTTAATAGAATACACATGATAGGACTAAGAAAAAACTCTGCGGATGATTCATTTGTCCAAGATTCCTTTTATTCTTAATAACAAAAAATATATATAAAAGAGAGAGAAATGAGTACAAATAATATTTATTCCTAGCCAAATTACAGAAAGTCAACCAACACAACAAGAAGAGCCTAACACTCTTTTAAGAAGAAAACAAGCCCAAAAGAACAATAGCAAGAAAGTACACCAATAAAAACACTTGACTACAACTCTTAGAATGGAAGATGCTCCACAACCATTAGCCATTGTGGGATGAGTAATATGTCTGCATGATGGTGAGAACCAGGAGCATAGCAGCTGCCATAATTCCTATGAATTTCCACACATTTGGTATATGGTCACGTATCAAAATATTGTACCAGTTTCGCCCGTAGTACTCAACCATCTCAAAAACACACCTACATTGATGCCATGTCCTAATAGGTAGTTTTTGCAACATTTTATTAACTTTCATTCCCTTGTAGTCATACACATTCAACCTTGCACAAATCTCACTATAACTCAAATCCATATGTTCAGCTCCATTGGAAATGGTGCGAAATAGTGCCAACAAATCTTCATTGCTCTTGTTCAACTCATTCACAATAACCCCTTTTTCCACAAGCAATTCTATGTCATGAGCACAACATATCAAACCCTTAAAGAAAAGTGCATAAGAAGTGTATTTGCATCTAATCCAAATTTTGCTTTGCTCCCAAGCAATCAAATTCCTCCATTTCACTTCGGTTGTTTTCTTAATATGTAACGTTGGAATTTCCAACTCTCCAGAATCACTAAAACTTATACCAAAATCAAACATATCCACCAACTTATGCTGATTTTGATTCGTCCTATTTAATTTAGCTTTAATTGTTACTCCAGAAGCACGAAGCTTTGTAGCACAACACAATAATTCTAGCTTCGCCTTTTTCCCAATATGATACGGGTTTGGCTCCACAGTTGACAAATGCATCAAATGAAGTATATGAGCACCACCTGAGCCATTCGACAATGGATAACCAAAAGCCATACGAACAATATTAGCCACACGATGATCATCTTTGATATCACTTCCATCAGGAAACACCTTTCTATATATCTTCTTAAGAACAATGAATGGAATTTGATTCTCAAGCATTGCTATATCGTTTAAAACCGACAAAACCTTTTCCTCAGTTTGAAGGATCGAGTCATTTACATAAGAAGTTATTGTTTGGTTCACCATGTAATCGCAAAGCCTAATGAGAAGCTCCAACAAAAAACAACCATCTACTATCATTATTTTAGCGAGTTCGTGTGATTCTATTTCTCTGATGATCTTGTTGTTGCTTCCACCATAACTAGCGCTAATGACTATATCCAACTTGAGAATATCAAAGCCACATTCTCTTAACTTTAACTCTAATCTTTTATTTAGTTCCCGTATTAGTCCTTGTCGTTCAAGAAACTTGCGCATGTAACGCCATTTGGATTCTTCCATTAATTGAAGGTGTGTTGTGGCTCCTCTATGTAAGGGACCTATGGAGATATGTTTTGGTTTGTAAGCATCTTCGTTTGCTTCCCGAAGTTTGTCTGGAACCGAAAAAATACTGCAAGCTTGAACTTCTTCATGATTGAGAGAACCCAGCATCACTTCTATGGGAACCATCCAACTAAAATCAGATTCCATCTTCAAATTTCAAGAGTTACCCTTATAGATCAAATTTATGCACATTGATGACACTAGTTCCAAGCTTCCTACCAAAAAGAGGGTGAGAACAAAAATTAAGAAGAAGAAGGAGAGGAAGGAGTGTATTATTTGAAAAGGAAGTCTTATCAATAATCATAACCGACAGATTAATATCGGAAAGGCAAAACAAATACAGACAAAACAAATGGATTTTTATTGTTTCATATTTTATTGTTTTAATTTTCTATTTATTTTGGGTAAATTGATATGCTTGTTATAAAATGATACATGTTACTATTATATATAATCAAAATTATACATTAATATCAGTCAAATAGATAATAAGTTGTACTATTTCTTCTTTTAAAATGGAAAAATTAATTATTTTCAAATCTATATTTATTGTCAAGTAGAAACGTTATGCGTGAATTTTTGCATTTTTTTTTATAAAAAAAATCACTTAGTTTTAGTATTAAAAATCAAAAATATCAAAGATAGAACTAAAATATGTTAAATATATAATTTTTTGTTTTAGAAAGATTTGATTTGATTTAGAAAGATCAGATTTAATTTAAAAAGATTAGATTAGATATTTTTGAATTTTTATAGTTTGGGCTTTAGCTTGAGAGGCAAGTTAACATAAATCTATAAATAGGGAGAAACTCTTATCATTGTGATAATCAAGTTTGATAATCACGGTTTTGCAGTTGCAAAGTGATAATAAAATTTCACAGTTGTGGGCAGAGAGTTACTCTGCAGTTCACACTCGTCTTTTTAAAATGTGTTATTGTTTTTGTTCATTGTCATTACATAACAATTTTGAGATAAAGATTGAGAAGAATTCACAATAGATCGTAGTTGAATTCCAACATCTAGTATCTAGAGCTCCAATTTTGATTCAAGGGAAAAACGACTGTGATGGCAATGAATCACTCGAACGGTCACTTTCCAGCAAATATTCCTATTCTCAAAAAATATGATTATGAGAATTGGTGCAAGCAAATTAAAATGGTTTTCTGTTACCAAGATCTTTGGGATCTTGTGAAGGAGAGATTATCACCGCTTGTAGAAACTGCAACAGATAAGGAGAAAGCAGCATATAAAGAATTTAAGAAGAAAGATTATAAAGTTCTCTTTATAATCCATCAATGCGTTGATCCAGATAACTTTGAAAAGGTTAGGTGTAGAGTCAGCAAAGGAAGCGTGGGAGATTCTTGAAAAATCGTTTGAAGGCGCATAAAAGGTGAAAGAGGTGAGGTTACAAACTCACAAAAGGACTTATGAATTGCTTCAGATTGAAGACAATGAAAGTATAATAGATTTCTTCACCAGAGTTACAAAGCTGGTGAATCAAATCAAGGTATATGGAGAAGGGTTGACATCAAGATCAGTTGTGTCAAAGATCTTGAGGTCATTGGCTCCAAAATTCGACCACGTGGTAGTATCCATAGAAGAGTCGAAAGACTTGTCAATATTGACGAAGGAAAAGTTTCAAGGGACGCTTGAGCCTCATGAACAAAGGATGGATGAAAGAGCTGCAGGAAAGTCGAAGAGTGATATGGCTTTGCAGGCGCAGTCAGAAAAGGAAAGGAAAGGCAAAGGAACCTGGAATGGCAACAAAGGTAGATGAGGCTACATCAATTCGACTGGTCGAAATCAGAATGAAGAAAACTGGTCGAATCAGAGAAAACCCTGGAACCAAGGCAACCAAAGAGGTGGTGTTGCAGGTAGAGGAAGAGGTGGTGGTCGAAAGCCTGACAAAAGTCACATTCAGTGTTTTAATTGTCAGTAGTATGGTCACTATTTTAGTGATTGTCCAGAAAAGAAAAAGAATCAAGAAACTGATGTAAAGCTAGCGAAACATGAAGAAGAAGAGATGTTGTTGATGGTCACAACAAGAGACGAAGAGAGATTCTAAGACGTGTGGTACTTGGGCTCAGGATTCTCATCACACGTGACTGGAAGGAAAAATTGGTTTGTCAACATGAAGTCCTCGTCGAAGAACACAACGAAGTTTACAAATGACAACACTATAGCAGTTGAAGGTGTTGGTGATGTTAAGATTGTGAGGAAGGATGGCAAGAAATCAAAATTTTCCAATGTGTTATACATACTAGGCATGAAAAGTAACCTGCTCAGTATAAGACAACTTGTTGAAAAGAACTACAAGGTAGTTATCAAAGACAAGATGATGAGAGTTCTTGACGCAAGTGGTAGGTTGATCTTGAAGGCTCAAATGTCTCAGAATAGGACCTTCAAGATTGAACTCAATGTGATGGAGCACAAGTGTCTATCAACTACAACCAACAGAGATGAATGGTTATGACATTTTTGACTAGGCCATCTCAACTTCAATGACATTAGAGAGCTAAAGAGAAGAAATATGACTTCAGGATTACCTGAAATCGAAACTCCAATTGAAGTCTGTGAAGAGCGTGTTCAGTCAAAATAACACAAGAATAAGTTCAGCAAGGATGCAAGAAGGAAGTCGAAGGCAATTCTGGAAGTCATATACTCTGATGTATGTGGTCCAATCCAGGTGGATTAGATTGCAGCAACAGATACTTTGTCACGATCATAGATTATTGCAGTTGAAAGTTGTGGACTTACCTCATCAAGAAGAAAAGTGATGTGATCGAGGTATTTTCCAGATTCAAATCTATGGTCGAAAGATATAGTGGTCGAAAGCTGAAAATTCTGAGGATTGATGATGGTGGAGAGTATGTGTCGAAAGAGTTTGATGCATTATGTGGAAAAAAAATGGATTGTGCATGAGGTGGTGCCACCCTACACTCTATAGCAAAATATAATTGTAGAAAGAAATAATAGAACCATCATGAACATGGTGAGAAGTATGATGAATGGAAAGCATCTACCCAAAGAATTATGAGGAGAAACAATTTTGACAACAACATAAATATTAAACAGATGTCTGACGAAGAAGTTTGAATGAATCACACCAGAAGAACGTTGGTCTGGTGTCAAGCTTAACCTCAGTCACTTGAAGGTTTTTGGATCTATAGCTTAGAGACATGTGCCAGATCAGTTGAGAAGGAAGCTTGATGACAAGTCAAATCAGATGTTCTTGATAGGATATTATTCGACTGAAGATTACAAGTTGTTCGACCCAATGAATAAGTAGGTAGTGATCAGCAGGAACGTGATCATAGATGAGCTTAAAGAATGGAATTGGAATGAGAATGTCAAGAAGGATTCAAAGAGAATCTCTTGTGAATAACCAGCCACTGAAGTGGAAAGAGAAGTTCGACAAGAAGAAGTTAGAGGTGAAGTTGGCTCAAGCAGACCTTAATGGAAAAGACACATGACTGTAAAGTTGCAAGAATGTTTGATTACATCAGATAATATGGTCGATGAAGAAGGTGAGCTAGTACATTGTGCTTTCTATGCATATGTTGAACTAGTCAATACAACTGAGGCATTGAAAGATTCTAAGTGGGTGAAAGCAATGAATGAGAAGTTAGACTCCATCGAAGTCAACAACACCTGGTCACTTATCGAATTGACTCAAGGAAAGAAGCCAATTGATGTGAATGGGTTTACAAGGTGAAAGTGAATCCTAAAGGAGGGGTAACTTGACACAAGGAGAAACTTGTGGCGAAAGGGTTTCTTCATAAGGAAGGAATCAACTTCGACGAAGTGTTTGCACCTGTTGCTAGGATAGAAACAAGTAGGTTGATTGTTGGTCTAGAAAATATGAACAATTGGCATACATGTCAGATAGACGTGAAATGTGCATTCCTTAATGGCCCCTTAGACGAAGAAGTTTATGTCGCACAATCAACTAGGTATGTGAAACAAGGCGATGAAAGAAAGGTGTATAGGATGCATAAAGACTTATATGGACTTAAGCAAGCTCTGAGAGCTTGGAATAAGAAAATCGGCAGCTTCTTAAGGGAGAAGGAATTTGTGAAGTGTACGACTGAGAATGGAGTGTATGTAAGAAGAAACAATATTGAATTGCTTATATTATGCCTCTATGTCAATGACCTGTTAATAACTGGATGTTGCAAGAAGGAGATTGAAGATTTCAAACATAACCTGAGTGAGGAGTTTGAAATGTCATACTTGGGAGACCTCTCATATTTCCTTGGCATCGAATTCTACAAGACTAGTAGAGGTTTGATGACGCACCAACAAGATATGCAGGCGAAATACTCAAGATATTTGAGATGCAAGATTGCAACCCAATTTCCACTCCAGCTGATACCAGATTGCAACTGTCAAAAGATTCAGATTCAGATGATGTTGATCCAACCCAATATAGAAGACTTATTGAGTAACTTAGATACCTTTGTCACACAAGGCCTGAATTAGCATACAGTGTGGGTATGGTAAGTAGGTTCATGCAGAAGCCAAAGGTATCACACATAAAAGCGACGAAGAGGATACTAAGATATCTGAAAGGAACTCTCGACTATGACACTTTGTTTTCTGCCGCTGATGAAGGAAAATAATGCAAGTTAGTGGGATACACTGACTCAAGTTGGTGTAGTGATGCTAAGGATAGAAAATCCACAGCTGGCTATGTGTTTCTGTTAGGTGGTGCACCAGTTGCTTGGAGTTCGAGAAAGAAGCTAGTAGTGGCATTGTCATCATGCGAAGCAGAATATGTAGTTGTTTCTCTTTGTGCATGTCAAGCAACTTGGATGGTGAACCTGGTCGAAGAGATCACAGCGAAGAGTCATGGAGCAATTACCATGAAGATCGACAGTAGGTCAGCTATCAACTTGGCGAAGAATCCAATAGCACATTGATAAAACAAGCACATTGAAATGAGGTTTCATTATCTCTGAGAGTAGGTAGGAAAAGGGAAGATGAACTTGAAACACTGTAGAACCGAAAATCAGATTGCAGACATCATAACGAAGGGAGTACCAGTCGAAGTGTTCAATAAGATAAGGTTTATGATGAATGTAGATGGCTTAGAAACAATGAATTAGGTGGTGTGTTAAATATGTAATTCTTTGTTTTAGAAAGAT